CTTTCTATTCTATAGATACATTAGATGATTTGCAGTTAAGATTTCTCCCAACTTTTATTGTAAAAGCTGTGTCAAGTTAGTAAAGGAAGTGTTACATGTAGTTATCAGAATGTCAAAGGTTTTGCAATTTTTTTTTGTAGAACATTTTAAATTGAAATAGAAGACATGGGATCGGGGAAGGAATCAAGGTACTTGTACACTGTAAGGGTATTTATGATATATTCTCCCACATACAGATTGTTTTCATCATCCACACAAACACTACGGGGACCGTAAACCCCCTGTTGCCATGTAAGTAATAGAGACAAAAATTGACCGTCTTGATCAAGGAGGTAAATAGTATCACTTAAACGATCACACACCAGAATGTGAGCGAAGACATTAGTGCAGATTCCATAGGGGCAAAACACTGACTTCTGACCTCTATAGGAGAACCTGTGTTGCCTTGATCTATTCACCACCACTACTCGCATATGATAGTCTGAAGTACAGATATCTCCATTGATATTTTCTGTGATGTATTGTGGGGATTTGTAAAGTTCCCCTCTCTCAGTATGTTATGAAGTTCTTTTCCTGCTTTGTTGAATCTTGTGACGTTAGCCTCTCTATCTTTCCTCATATCCCCGCTAGGATCTCCCCGTTGATGTGCGCGGAGTATATGCTGTAGGGTTCCCAAATCCCAGTGTTGATGAAATGGGTGATATTTTTATCTTGTGTTAGCCTGTTGATGGCTTTCCCGACTTTGTCTGTAAAGATAAGATCTCCGACCTGTGTGATTGTATGGTTACCCTCCTGTCCACCTGTAACTTTTATCTTTTGTATCTGTTTGCCATGTAGATCTGTTTGAATAATATTTCCATCTCTGTCACTGCTCCAAAGTTTGCCCAGTTAATCTAAGGACATATGATATAAACCATTGACACCTGGTACATTGAACTCCCTTATCTTCCTGATAGAGGCAGACAGAAGCGTAATTTAATTTTTGGGCAGATTCTTTCTTCTTTTATCTGCTTTATTGAAGGTTTCTTTGCTGCATTGAAGACTCTTTCAATGGACCTTTTTTCTCTCTTCTCTGCCTTAGTGTTGGGAAAGTTTACTTTACCCAGCAATTTGAGGACATCACTTTTGATGTAATGACCTGCAGTAAATTCTGGTGTGACTGGTTTTGTTATCTCTAGTATGGACTGGATGTTTGAATTCTTCTCAGGCATTAGAATGTGGGGTTCTGTAGAGGACACGCATGTGTTAAGCTCTTTTAGAAGGTTATTTAGATAAGTGATGTAATCATCTAATGCCTTGTATTGGGTGTGAAGATCTACAAACAAGGAATTCTCTATCTGGTCTACCTGCCTCATGTTCTTAGATACGACTGTGTCCACCAGGTGTTTTTAGGGACTCATCCTCGGCTTTCATGAATGTTCTTATGTTGTCCATGGTGGTTTTTACTTCTGAGAAATCTTTTTTTAATTTCCTCCTGTAAATCTTTGGACATGGGAAGGTAGTATGCATGGATTTTGTGGATTTCTTGCTCTAGGAAGTCGACATATTGCTTTGCACGGAGATCAAATAGATCAGCAAATGTATGTAAGGAATGGTCTTCCAGTATGATACATTTGAAACATACTGGAACGTTGCAATCTTCACAGAACATCTTCGTATCGTTAGTAGGGTGGATCTTGCATTTTTCAACAAGATGTTTTTCATGGCATTGTTGGTATAAGACCACCTCATGGTTCTTGTTTTCTGAACTTCTCAGATGTTCATCTCTGCAATGTTTGCACAATCTTTTGTAACAAATTTTGCAATAAAACTCACAATTTCTTTAACATTTTTCAATGTCACATTCTAAAAAATGTTGGGCTGAACGTTGAATATCCATTTTAGAAAATGCCATCTGAATTAAAGCATGAAATGCAAATATTACAATTATCATACAACTGTAATATATAATAATATTTACATAACAATTGCTCACAATCTAAAAAAGAAACAAGAACAAAAAATAGGAACATTTCTAGGTATATGTATAAAGGATTATGATACATATATTTGTATTGACTTACCAGAAAACAATCACTTGAATAAATTTAATCATATTATATTTACTTTGAACACAATATTTAAAGTTTAAGCGATTCAAAGATATTATTACACATGTAAAATTAATAAAATAGAGTGCACGTTCCTTGGCTATCGTGAACAGAAATGAGTTAGTTGATTTACATATCAAAGTACTTTGGAATAATGGCGCAGTATGTCACATGTAAAAATATATCTAATATTTACATAACTATACATGTAGATAAATACTGATTAATGTTTAATTACTGTATGCAGTGGATAGGTATAAATACGAAGATTAATACTTCAAAAGTATTTAAGCTTTATTCAAATGCCATCGAATCAATAATATGTATACAATACATTTAGCTAATATAATTCTTTCTTGCTCATTTTAACATGCATACACGTCTGTGAAAGAATCACGAATCAAAAATTATAAATTGTAGTGCAATCTTTAAAAGATAAATCAGCATAAAATAAATGTCAAAGTATATTTAGTTTTTGAAAGACACATTGCGATGAAAACGGGTACATAACTAACATTTTAATGCGCAATTCTTGATACATCAACAATTCCATTTTGCAATCATTATTTTCATATATAAACATCAGCTAGATTTAACACAAGAAAACAGGGACGGATATACAATAAGATGTATTGTTAAAATGTGCTACATGTATATTATAAATACCATTGTGAAAGGGTGCAAAAGGTACAGTTAGGATTGAAATAGAAAACTGGCAATGCTTAACAGGAGTTTGCAATCAGTCCTTTACAAAATGATAACCCTTTGTCTTTGAATGTCGAGCTGGTAGTAAAAATGTATACTGATGATAATAAAAAAAATATTTAATGTTTAGAAAAAAATGGCACCAGTGACATACATCTCATTTCAGACCCATGGAATAAACAAAATCAAATTGTTTCATGGAATAAAGTTTATTTTCTGTTGATTTGTTTATTTTTTTCAAAAATCAAGATTTAAAATAGTCGTTCATTTAATTTTTTATTGTTTTGTTATTTGAAAAATATTCGTCATTCAATTTGATGAAAATTAAAACATGATATTAATCCTCACAATCCCTACTCGAGTGTTTTAATGCTTCCTCATCTGTCGATGTACAAAATGTATCATTCTTATATTTTTTTTTTACTTAAATACGCTGCAGAATGACGACAAAATCAGAACTCCAAGGGAAAGCTTGATCCATTCAAATGAACCTGAAAAGAGAATTGTTCATTCATAAAAAAGCAAGATGTCATTTGCGCACTTATTCATGAAGAGAATATCATCTATATGAGTTATATAAGTTTAAGTACATGTATCCAATAGACTATAATCTATTTCTGACTTTTAAAAAGATATGTCAGGTGAAGGTACTAATGAGTAATCTTTTTTTTCTTAATAGTTAAGTTTAAATCTTTGTAACCTTAGCTTTTTTGTCAGTCAGATGCAAAATTGTATGAAATAAAGAAAAAATATGTACAAGCATTTTCAGCACAATTTAATGATTCTTTATCACATCTATTTTATTTTTTGTGAAGAGGACGCCTGCAGCAAAACCATTGCAATGTTATACAAATGTACCTTTGAATTGAAAAGTAAGAGAGGTATTGATTGATTTTTTCGTGTATAAAGGAAAATGCTAGAAAATGCATAGGTATTTCATTTCAAATTACAACGTTCAGCGTCTTTCACATATATAGAAAAATTAATCCGTCATCAGAGGTAGAAATTCAATTTAAATCTCTTAATTTAATTTTTTTTACCACTGCTGATGCTTTTTTGTCTCCAATTTCGAGCTTCAAGTTATGACAAACATTATTTTTCTTCATTTTAATTCAACTGGTTCGACTATATATAACATTATCATTTTTATCATCATTAATCATAATACTAAATTAACCTCCAGTTTTATTGGCCGTATTTCCATATTCAGAAGGACGATCAATAACTCGTAGTTTGCCAATGATGTTCTTCCTCTGAATTGCAGTCTCTACAACATCCCTTCTTTTTAGTCCTGTGTCCCTTTTTCGTCTTTTATTCGGGCAAATATCCTGAAAGAACGATAATTGAATTAAAAAAAAAATAGAACTTATACCTGGCTATATAAATAGAAATTAATATATAATTTCAAAGAACTGTAGCAATTGTAAAGAACATGCTAGATGTCTAGCAATAAAAAGGATAGCAATAGTATTTTAGTATACATTAGCAAAACTTTATTCAGTAAAATATGCCTAATTGTCTTATCTTCTTTATCGACATATGCGGCGCGCTTAACAATTTTGAATATGGGCCATATCTTAAGAGCCCTGGGGCCATTTTTTTTCAGATTTTTCACAAAGTATTCTTGTCCCAAAGGCTTCTGTTTGTTTTAGAACAAATAATACATGCTGGAAGTTTATTTTACCTTAGCTTTCAGTACTGTCTCAGTACTTTGATTTGAACTGTTCAAAATATAATAGATGGAAAAAGTGACAAATTTGCAATTCTATGTTTGTTTTGAAGATCCTGATTGTTTATAATAATTCATATTGCACGAATATTTATGAAACATGATGCTTTATTCAGCCAAGGAATATATTCCCCTCGGGCGGAGCCATATAGGAACATTCGATGTATTTTTTTCTTAAATCTTTAGAATAAAAATATCTATTTCTGTTATAAAAATGTTAAATGTTTAAATCATGCACATTTTTGTATATTTTGAAATGCCATTCGGGGCCCTAGATGGGTTTATAAAGTATTTTCTTTTATCTTATAACTTGTATCTTCATGCATATTTTAACACGGATTTTTTTCACAGGCACTTGTTTCGGAAATAAATTTTCAACCTATAGTATAATATTATAGGTTAAAAATTTATTTCCGAAACAAGTGCCTGTGATTTATTTATACATGTATACGCCAATCCTTGCAGTCTATTTGTAACTTTTTATGAGGCGTTATACAAAATTTATTAAATCAAAATTATGAAAATTCTTTCAAATTTATAAAATACAAGTATAACATGTACAATAAGAATGAATTAATATTGAAATAACTAAAAAGCCACGATCTATGATTACTCAACTTACCTGTTTAGAATTCTCTGGAAAAACACCAACTTCGCAGGCTATGGTGATGTAATCACTTCCATCAAACCTGAAACCGTACATTTTGGCGGCAATGGCAGTGTTGTTTTTGTAGTTGTCTATACTCTCTAGTAATTCGGTGTGTACAGTGCAATTTTGTGCTTTTCGGTTTTTAAACAAGTGTAAAATTCATTTTTTATCACAGTTGAAAAAAATGAAACACATGTTAATTATTTACTCATCATTTTAAATTCAATATAAATTTACATTAAAGATTCAACTGAGATATATAGCAATTTTATAACCTCTTACCTTATGGAAACAAAATGCAAAATACGCGGGTATGTTAAGGAAGCATATAAGTAATTTCTCGGGAAATTTAGACTTTTTGAAGAAAATTTAGTTTAATAAATTACCAAAACCACTGATAAACGTAAACTGTTATTTACTATTGCATACAGGTAAAAGCATGTCTAACGCAAAGACGTGCATCACCGCCACGGCATCACGTGACTTCTATTAATAGCAAAATTTTCCTTAATAAAAAGGCTTACAGAACAACAATACCCCGGAGTTTGATAATTTCTTTGAGTATGTAATATAGCTGAAAAACATCTATTTTGTCTAAAAAGTGCTGCTAGAATCCCACTAGCTTGTCTGTAAAATATTTATTCCACACATTCGCACGAAACCTTACCCTTTGTTTTGAATTTTATACATATGAATCAAAATTTTTCGTACAACCATGCTTAACTCGGGATTCTAGCAGCACTTTCCAAGTTTGTCAAAACGGAAACTTAAATCTGTACAAATCGTATGTATTGAAATATCCAGTTTATTGTTGTTCTGTTGCATTTTTTGGTAAAGAATGATGGGCGATAGGCCGACCGGAATACGTAATATAGCTGACTGTCTTCGAAAGAGAATATAATCGATGAAAATAAATTAGCATACCTGTTTAATTAGTTGAACTCCATATGAATTTAACACAATATTTCCGATATTTCCTTTTAAACTCCATTTTACGTATGTTTGAACATGCCGTCTTAGCCAAATTCTCTTTACACGACATGATCAAGTTCCAAGTTACTTGATGTACACATATGACGTCATCGGTGGTAATTTCAATCATAATGACTTTTACAGCAAAACAAAATAAAAACATTTTATTTTTGTTAATGTTTATACGTTTTTAATCATTTTATAGAGTTAAATTACATAGCTAAATACCAATATTACGAAAACCTGATTTCTAAAATTGACGTCATCTTGCCTACTATGACATCATAATACAGCACTGATTTAGCCAAGGCAGAATATTTTGTATGCTTCCTTATTCCCCCTGCGTAAGAGGATTATGAAATGAGCTTTAAATAATATTATAACATCAGTTTGCCCTCATTTTAAAATATTATAGCGGATTGCATGCAGAAGGTAAAGTAACGACTGTACTCGACCCAGATTGAAATAAAAATCTAAATAAAATTACAGTTCTGATACACAAAACTTTTAAATTTTTCGTGTTTCTAGAACTAAGTTTGATTTATGGTTTAAAAAGGAACATTAAAAAAAGGTGCCAAAGTACATGCAAGATATTTTTACAAATTTTTTGATCATTTAAGATTTGAGATACTGTTTAAATCGGTAAACACTAGAAACATGCTAGGTTTATTTGTTCTTACTTTTGTTGATCCCACAAATCGACATGTTTCTCATTATTCGGTTGTCCAGCACCATCTACATTGATCACTGTTCCTGCATATGCTGTGCAAGTTTTAGGTATAACTGTATATCGATAGGCTGTAAATAGTAGGTATTAACCGTATTATGTAGCTATTAAGTTATAATGTTTGATGTACATGAGAAAAACGGGAATTTTGAAAATAACTTTTTAAATTATGAATTAAACTATGCAAACATAAACATAAACGGAACGAAATTTGGTTCTACTTCATATTTTAACAAAAACAGTCCATTAATAGTCAATAGTTTTTCTGATAAAGATTACATAAAACTTCACTTGAGTTAACAAAATTCGCTGACACACAAATTTCATACCACAAATATAGTGAAAACACGTATTCTTCAGTAACTGGAACACTAAGCAGCTTGAATGTATGGCAAGTCATCAGAAAAATAATGTCCCATTCATTTGACATGGATACTAATTAAATGGGATATTGGCCCATTGTATTCATTTTCCGTGGCGTTCTGCATTCGCGAAATTTACCCAGTGCACAATATTTAGCCCATTTGGGGTCGCCACATTTGTTGTTGATTGTTGGGGAGACGAGCCGGCGGCCGCTCCAAAAATTTGTCATATGTCACCGCGACCAGATACGCCAAACTTCAAATAAATCCTATCAACTAATATTAAGCGTTATTTCATATAATAACATCTGAGATAATGTCAATACATGTATATTTATCATGAAGCGGTAACGCGCTTCATGAAATATGCCGGCGTGAAGCGTCGTAGTTCATAACCTCATGAATCTTCATAAATTCAATTCATTTCTTAAATATACTGCAATTTATTTTGTAAAGAATCATTAGGGAAATTAATTGGAAATGCATATATTATAAAATGAATCATAGGACATGACTGTTAGTTAATCTACTATATCAACGACGTTATATTTTGGTTAAGATTAGGGTGTATAACATTCCAATCAATCCACCTCTCAAATAAATTTATAAATCTGAAATAGCTAACAGAGTCTGGTAATCAAGGACTATATCGATATTAATGCGGCTGACAGAATTGCAGGACTATTTCGGCTAATTTTTCATGAATAAAACCATGTACATTTACATCTTTAAACAGGTCGAGACCACTAGATTTTCTGACGTCAGAATAAATTTGCATGTAAATCAGCTAATATGTTTACTTTATCTACTGCTGAATGAGCCGCAATGCATTGTGGGCTACTACAAGTACCTAGCTGTGTTAAAAATTAAAGGCAACTTGAACTGTCCCTTGGAAACTTATTTTCAATTCTTTTTTGAAATTTGTGAAAGAAATATTTAAAATGATGTATAATCTTTCATTTTTATGCTCACATTTACAAAATTTGCTTTATAAAACCTTATATCAACTTATAATACATTGGCCTAGTATACCATTGTTCAAAGAGACGTTTAAGTGATATCGTGCCGATAAAACATTGAGTTTTTTTCACGTGATATACGTGTACATAGCTTTCGCAGGTAGTATATAGGTCCTTGTTTTTAGACAGCAGGAGAAAGTGTGCAATTATTATTTAACCCCTCAATATTATCAGAAAGTGTTTTCTGTATATGCAAAAGTCAAAGCGTTTATACAATATTCGAAGCAACTGTTAATCATCTAAAACAACTCCAATATTAAATGTGAGCATGGAGCAGTGTCTTAAGAATATAATCTATCAATTTCTGTCTAATAAAGTTATAAAGAAGCTCTACAGTTTTTCCGGTGACGAGTTAAATTTTGTGCAGTAAAACCGACGAAAACCACGTGTAGCCATTGAATCGTAAACACGTGGTAGACTTTTATGCTTTGGGACTCTTTCACTTGATTGGAGAACGGGCGTGACGAAGACATCGTCACGTGTTCAAAATTGCCTTCCATATAAGGTAGTGGTCTCGACCTGTTAAAGTAGGATAACTTATACGTTTAGACAAAAAAAATACAATTAAAACAAGATGATTTACATAAACAAGATAACTAATTCGTTATTATGAGTTACCTACATGTACTTAATTATATACTGTACGTTGTGATAAATAAGCCTTACCAGCTCTCGCATAAAAGGGTTTTTTTCCACATATATTTTCATTTAATTTGCACATAATTCAAATTAAATATTAGCTACGTGTTGTTTTGTTTAGAATATTTTTTAAGTTGAATAGAAAAAGAAACAAGAGGCCCAAGGGCCTTATAGGTCACCTGAGTATCATGTAACAACTTTCCAGCGATTGTATTTGGTTCGTGTTTTAATCCAAAAGCCATGAAATTCACAAATTTTGAAGGAGGCACCATTATCAAAGGGCAGATTTCAAAGCATTAATCTATTTTTAGTCAAAGTACCCCCCTTGTACCCCTGACCCAGCGGCCCTGAAATTATCTATTTTGAAAGAGGCCCCTTTCTTCATTATAAGGCCAGCATTTTTTTTATGTTTAGGTTTAGTTATGAACATGAAAATAAAAAAGTCCCGAAGGAGAAGGAAATAAATTTTTTTTTGATAAATCAATTATTAACATTTGTTCATTCTTTTTTTATGCTATTACAATAGGTTCGGACCTCCTTACCACTGGACACATAATGCTTACAAATAGGAAAGTAGAACATTTAATTGCTTATTTCATCATCTGCCAGTTTGGGCCAGTTATATAAATTTTGTGATGTTGGTCAAAATATATTTTAAAAAATCAATTCTTAAAAAGTCTTTCAATATATCTTCATTTTTTTTAATATGTGTTAGGTGAATGTGTAGACATTGTTCTAAAATTTACTTGATGCCTAAAATTATATTTATAATTCCTATCATAAAACAGACAGGGAGTATTGGGGAGTAGGGTCAACATTTTTTTTTCAATTAAGTGTAAAATAATTTTTCTGGCTGATACAAATGATACTACATGCCTGTATATATTTGTATATTCTTGCCTTTTAATAGCTGAATTTTTTTATTTCTTCAGGTTATTGTTTATTTCTTCCTCAAATGGACTTAACTTCTCCCATAGTTTTATTCATTACATCTGATGCATAAGCAATCCTTTTCTGAAGAATGATGCTTAGACTGTAAGCTATAACAGAGACCTAAACAATGTCAATGTCGCTGGCAATATGCAATAGCTACCATGGGCAGTTTAAAACCTCGGGGAGGAAAATAATTTACAGAGATACTTTTGAAACGAATACATAATTATCTCACCAGCATGTCATTGTTCAACAAAGTCGTCAGCGTTTTATTTGTCCTTTGAACGGGTGAAACGTTTTGAATGGCACTCGTATCGATGAATTTTACACTAAACCAACCTCTAGCTTTATTTACCCGCCGTTTCATCTTAAAACCGGAAGTGCAAGTTCGTTAATTTGAAATCTC